CCACCGACCGCGACGAAATGTCTGCATTTTTTGGCTTGAATATTTTGATGGGAATAAACAAACTTCCAACAATTCGGTCATACTGGGATTCAAATTTATTTTTAGGCAATGCTGGTTTCAAAACAACAATTCCTGTGAAACGTTTCGACATTTTAAACAAGTATTTTCATATTTCGGACCCGCGGCAAGAAAACCCAACCGATAAACTTACAAAAATTCGGCCCCTTATTTCAAAGCTCGAAAATGCTTTTCAAGATGTTTATGTGCCTGGAAAAAATATTTCGATTGATGAAGCTTTGATTAAATTTAATGGTCGTTTATCTTTCAAGCAATATATGCCTAAAAAACCGAATAAATTTGGTATTAAAGTTTGGATGTTAGCCGATTCTGAAAATTATTTCGTGCCGCGCTTTCAAGTTTACTTAGGTAAACAACAAAATGCCGAAAATGCCGATGAAAATGAAGCGGAAGGGGCGCGAGGTCTCGGTTTTAAAGTTGTTGATTTCCTGGGAAAACCCTACTATAATACTTACCGTCATTTCTATTTCGATAACTATTTTTCCTCGATTCCTTTACTCGAACATTTGCTTGCAAAAAAAACTTACGCATGCTCGACCTTGCGCCACAACAGGAAATATTTTCCTGCTGATTTGAAAAAAATAAAACTTAAGCGTGGAGAAATGAGAACTCGACAAAATGAAAATTTAGTTTGTTTGGCATGGCAAGATAAACGTTTAGTCACGATTTTATCGACCAATGTCGATCCACAGCCCGAAGTTTTCGGCCCTTTAGATGAACGCACTGGAAAAAGGAAAGTCGTTCCCGAGGAAGTGCGAGAAAAACCCGCCGTCATATCATTGTATAATAAGTATATGAACGGTGTGGACGTAAACGACCAGTATAGGAGCTACTACCCTGTAGGAGCTCAATCTAAAAAGTGGTGGAAATATTTGGCTTGGTTTTTTGTGAATATTTCGATTGTAAACGGTTTCATTTTACAAAATTTGCAGACTGATCGACGCCGTCGCCTAAAACATTTAGATTTCCGTCTTGTTTTGGCAAGACAACTTATTTCGACCTATAACGGCTACAAAAAGATTTCTAGTGCTCCGAGTGGCCGTAAAAAAGATGTTCCAGTGGGTAGAAATGTCAAGGGCCATAGTTTAGTGAAGTCTTCAGAGCGAAAACGAGCGTGTGGGATGTGTTCGAAAGCGGGAAGGAAGCGTGCGTCAGGAAGAACGTTTGAAAGTATATATAAGTGCGAGCAATGTAATGTAAATCTTTGTAGAGAGCGTGCATGTTTTATGGAATGGCATCAATAAAGTTAGTCTTACTATTAGACAAAACCATTCAATGTTTGCATGTTTTATATTATGCTGTATGTAGTGTTTTTTAATAAAAGACTGGCTCTTTGCCAGGCAGTTTGCCGAACAAGGAAGCCATGTCAATGCAGACATGACAGCTCTGTCATCATCTATCATACTAAATTTCAGATTTCACCCCCAAACTCTGCTTGTTTCATTTAAGTTTAACAAGTATATAAATCACAGGTAAATTTCTATAAAATTAAGACAAAAACCAACCCGTCAAGGCATGTATTTATAGGTGCATTTTGTTTTCAAATATTGTTATGGAGACAAATTATACTATAATTATACATTACATATTTTTTTGCATGAAGGCAACTAAAAATATTCATGAAAAAATCTCATTTTTTTAGTAATACAACCCCATTCGTTATAAGAATTCAAATCCTGGCTTTTCAAGTATTTTGTAAAACAAAAATCATAAAGGAAATGATAGAAATGTTAAAGTTTATAGTATTTCAAGCCTTTAAATATTCAATGTCTTAATTACAAAGGAAACATTTTTAAGAAATTAGCTATGTATGAAGTTCTCACTCATTTATCTTGTCTGTTATGGATCTAGTTGTGCTCATTTATAGAAAAAATGAAAGCTTATTCATTACTCTATTGTCTTGCCAAATTTCATGTTTTACCATTACATTGCACTTGAGCTAGAACCATTCATGTAAACATAGTTGGCAGGAACTAAAATTCGCCATTTTGCTTGTCCACTTTGGGGGTAGAAACATTGTAACAGCTTGCACGTTAATGAGTTAAATGAAAAGGCTTACTGTTCGAAAGAGCCCCAAGTCAAAACAGCTATTGCATGCCTTGAATTATTATTATACACATGTTCACATTATAAATTTTCTGCCAAATTATAAAATGAATTCAAGGATTAGGTAATTTAGATTGTAAATATTGAACTATGGAATTATTTCATTCAAATATGTTTGCTTTGCGTAGCTGTATATTTCCGGCAATGGATTCTTTCTGCTGTTTGGTAAAGGCCCATCTAGACGATATATGACTAGTCATATATGATTTGTAAACATGTTGCTATCACATATTTTGTTTTCAAAGCTGGTTTTATTTTCCAGGTTTGGTCAGCGTGGAAGCGGGCCATTTTTCGACTAATCCAAGTGGGGCTGCTTTGACTTGGGGCTGTTTTGACTAGGGGCCGTTTTGACCGAGCACCAATAAAAAGCAAGCTAAACATACTTATCCTGGACTATTTTATTTTTACAGCAATTGTGATAGTTGCAATTGTTTCTTAACTGTGTTTATCCCACCCTGTCACCCTGTGGGAAGAAACCAGAGCACCCAGAGAAATCCCAAGACTTTAGGCATAGTGTTGACTGACTCTTTTCACATGGGTCCGTATGGAGAGAGTGGAACCCACAAACTCAAAGGTGCTCTAACAACTGTGTCACTGAATTTCCTTTAAAGGAACATGAGGACAGTGATGCAGGTAGAAGTGACCTTGATTCTCACAATTTTGGGCACAATCCCAGTGCTATATATAAATGTGAAAATCCAGATTCTCAGCATTCTTCAAATAATCAAAATGAAATGTTTTGTGATGTTTCAAGAGCTAAAGATGACATTAAGGTGCCAGGTAATGAACCATGTTACTACAGTTTTGAAGAAAAGTGGGACATATTTGATCACAGTGAATCAAGTTCAGAATCTTGATTCAATTCCCCTGACTCACTTGTTCATATTCAGGATGACTTATTAGAATATTTTTAGCATATAGTAAATAATCAATAAAGATGCTTGTGTTGGTGTTAGATTTTACATACTAAACATATAAACTAATAAAATTATGTCGATATCTTTGTACTATTTACAACATGAGCGGTCGTGTTGTATAGGATATACAAACTCGAGCCGAAGGCGAGAGTTTGTATATCCGATACAACACAGATGCGAATGTTGTAAATGGCTTTAAAAATTACTCATCTTATGAGTTCATTGGCGAAGTAATTTTAAAAATAAACGTTGTCTAAGCCAAGAAAATCAAAGTTAAAGTTTATGTAAATCAACATGAATCTGTATCACATATACAGATACGACACGCTTATGATTTTTCCTTGTGTTTTCTTCATGAATTATTAATGATTTTTTAAGTACTACTCACAAAATAAAAAACTGCAACTATACATTTAATAAATTAGAACTGCCATATACAGAAACAATATACTGTAATTCATACAGGATTAGATCCACCATTACAATTCTAATTGCAAGTGCAAAAAAGAAGACTGGATACCGTATTTACTTGTTTGAGCGCCACGGCGCTCTTTAAATTTTCAGAGCTTCAGATGTGGCGCTCAATCGGGGGCGGCGCTCTTTAAAAAATATTTCATTTGTGAATTATAACAAGAACTTTTAACAATCAAATAAACAAGTATTAAATGTCTTTGTCGCTAAATGTCTCCATTTTGACGGAAAGTTTTTACACTGTTTAGTGCAGCGCTCATTCGGGGACGGCGCTCTCTAAAAAAATTTGATCTCAAATGCGGCGCGTATTCGGGGGTGGCGCTCAGTCGAGTAAAAACGGTATGTAAAAACACAGCTAGAATTTAAGATTAATCAACTGAGTTCATATTGTGTTAATACAGAAATTGAAATTTTGTTTCACCAGTGGTTTGACAGTATTCAATAGATTAATATTTATAACCCATATGTAAATTAAGACATGTGCCCAGTGTCTCCTACTCCCAGGGCTTTTGAGGTGAAGACCCTGGGTATGTCAGTAAGTGCTCTGTTCATTGTTTAAATTAAACCTTGGTTGATGTTGCATAATCTCATTAGCTTGAAAACTATTTTTTTTCTCTTCTCAATCTGTGCAAACAATTTATTTGCACTATTTTGTCTTTGCAAACAATTTTTTAAAGAATTTTCCATCCCCTCCTCCAAAAAAATAATGATCCGTACCTTAGAATTGGTAGGGTGTACAATAATGAAACTATCAAGGCAAATATATATATATATATAGGCAAAATGTTGCAATTAAAGATGTGGTACAGTCCGATCTGTGCATGTGCACAAAGGAGTCCTCTTTTTATTTACAAACAGTTTATTTAGGTTTTTATTTCCTTTTATGTTCTTCCAAAGCTTGATTGCTGTCTCTTCTTAATTTATTATACTCTAGAATCATGAAAATATAAATAGTTGTCGAATAAAATTCAATATTTTGGATACCGAAATGTAAACAAAGCCTTTGTTTACATACAGAAATGCTATGCATTGTGCTATGCGAACTTCGACCTGAAGCCAGGCATAAAATCCTGGCTGTTGTGTTTTACAGGCCACCCAATTCCAACCTTGACCATCTGAAAGAACTTAAAAAGTCACTACGCCATGCCCCTCAATTCAATTTCGATCAAATAATCATCTGGGGGGATTTTAATCTGCCTGATATTGATTGGTCTACTGGCATTGCATCATCTTCCGAATCATTGCACAACTACTTTACTAAATTTGTCAAGGACAATTACTTGTGGCAGTTGGTTAACTTTCCAATGAGAAACAACAACATTCTTGTCTTGATCTTGACAAACATTCCTGACAAAATACATAATCTACATGGTTACGACGACATTATCTCTACCGATCACAAATTAATTGGTTTTGATCTAGATCTAAGGGTCCCTAAGAAACCGGATACTAAACGCTCCGTCCACAACTTTAAAAGAGCAGATTGGTCTAGTCTAAACAACTCACTCCAGAACACCTCTTGGGACGAGTGTTTTGTACCTAATGATGTGGATGCTTCTCTCTCAAATTGGTGTGCTGTTTTTCTAACCGTTGTTAACCAACATGTGCCTAAATCTAAGACCAGAAATATCCATGATCATCCTTGGATTGATAAAGAGCTTTTGTCTCTTATTAAGAGAAAAAACATCCAAAGACTAAAAGCCAATAGATCAGGTTGTGTTCATGACACTCAAAAGTTTAAAGATCTTCGACGCCTAACGAAAAACAACTTATCTCGCAAAAAAAGAAGGAGTACGCAACTAAACTCAGAGACTCTGTCATGGAAAACCCGAAACGGTTCCGGTCTTTTGTCGGTCAAAATCACTGCGCAAACTTCCTTCGAGATAATCGGTCTTTTATTACTGACAGCCGTGACAAGGCTAACCTACTGAACTCCTTCTTCCACTCAGTCTTTAGTCCTGCTCAAGCTACCACTACAACATCTAATCTCCCATTGTCCCATAAACTCGGCATCTCACCATCTGTTGCAATCGGACCTTCCAGGCCTTCATAATTGGAGTAATGACTGGAGCATGACGTTCAACCCATCCAAGTGCAAAGTGATGCACATGTCTCAGGAAAAGGTCTGCTCCTCTGCTTCACTCCAATACCACCTGAACGACAAGCCCCTGGAAAGTGTGACACACATCTCTGACCTGGGTGTCATCGTTTCCAAAGACCTCTCCTGGGCTAATCATATTGAAGACATATGCACCAAGGCCAATAAAACCCTTGGTCTAATTAAGCGGGTGTGTGCTAGAGACGTTGTGGATGCCAATACGCGAAAGCTTCTTTATTGTGCTGTTGTACGACCTAAGCTTGAGTACGCGCGTCGTGTGTGTGGTCACCTTACTCGGCTAAACAACGTAAATTAATAGAGAACGTTCAACGCAGAGCAACGAAATTCATTTTGAACTACCCTTCTCGTGATGTTACCTACAGAGACAGACTAATATCCCTAAACTTTCTCCCACTTGAACACAGGCGTGAACTTTATGACCTAACACTATTATACAAAATCAAATACAACCTTATTAATGTCACCTTTAACCAATACCTTACACCTGCAACTAACCCCTTTTCCACACGCAACTTCGACCCTAACAACTATAACATAATCGTCTCCAATAATCAAGAATTCTTCCGACAATCCTATTTCCCACGCACCGTCATCCTCTGGAACAATCTACCACCAAACATCAAAGCCGCCTATTCCCTACAGATCTTCAAGCAACATCTTCAATCTTATTACAAAGCCAAACTGTTTACCTACATACCACCATAGATAATTTTGTTCTAAAATTCGTTGTACAGTATCCTATATGTTAAGCTGCACGTAATCTGTGATAGGTTCGTGCATAATTGTCCTAGTACATCTCGTTATCCATTAATTGTTAATTAAGGGGTCGAATATCAATTGGAATTTAGTTTCTGTTTTCTTCTCCTGTCACGGCATTTTCTAGTTATTGTTATTGTTATATCTCTACGTTTATGTATATACTTAATGTGTGTGACAAAATGAATAAATAAAATAAATAAATAAAATAACTGTTTTAGGGTAAAATGACCATGGCAGTCAACATGGCATATGTGCCAAAACTTGAATCCGGGAAGAAAGTCCTGAAAATGATCCCGCCCTTAAACGGCAGTGCCGACAAAGCTCTAACTTCCGAAAAGCAAAAGCGACAGCCTTTCAGAAGTGCTTATAGTGTTTAGAAGAGTTGCTTTTAGGGGTGGTTATTGGAAGGAAAAATTTGTGTAAGTATAATATTTTACAAGAAAATGACCGTTCATCACCTCAGGTAAATTGCTGAGTATGCAGAAAATAACTAATATACATGGCAGAAATTAAATATCCTTATTTCCTAAAAAAAAATATCATGGGATGAAAAACTATGCTTAAATTAATATAATTAGTGTAGTGTTCATAAGGATAGTCACTGTTTTCTATAAATATAATATATTTTATTTCACTTACCCCCCACGAAAACACATTTCAGCCATATTTTGCGGTCTTGTTTGCTTTATATCGCCGTGTCTCCCAAATAACATCCAGTTGTTGTACTTTTACATAATGGCAAATGGCTAAAGAAGATTTCAACCAAGTTTCGGCAAGTTTTGGAGCAGTGCAGTGTATTTTATCTTCGATATTGTGTCCTCCGATATTTCGTCCAATATGCCGCCATTTTAATGGCTCGCTGATTTTCTGCCCGATAAATGCCACTTCTTCGTCTCCATATGTATTTAGATTACAGTATCCAAGAGTACTTCCTAATCAAAATATTGAAAAGATTACTTGCACTTGGAAGGAAAAAACCTCCCACAACAAATTCAGAATAGGAATAAAAACAAATCATTTGAAAGTCACGCGCAATTTTCGCGAAAATTCCTCGACAGGGGGCGAATATTTTCACGAAATGTTTGCCACCACAGCAATTCATGTTTCAACTAAATACAATAGTATTTATTGTATTTTATGATTTAAAAATAAAAATTAAAAACAATAAATATTTACGTATTTGTATTATCAATCATAAAAATGCAATAAATATAATATATCCAGACATCCAGTTAGGTCGCTGTGGCAAACAACGTTTCGTGAAAATATTCGCCCCCCCCCTGTCGAGGAATTTTCGCGAAGATTGCGCGTGACTTTCAAATGATTTGTTTTTATTCCTATCCTGAATTTGTTGTGGGAGGTATTTTCCTTCCAAGTGCAAGTAATCTTTTCAATATTTTGATTAGGATTATTCTACAATGAAGTACTCTTGGACACTGTAATCTAAATACATATGGAGACGCAGAAGTGGCATTTATCGGGCAGAGAATCGGCGAGCCATTAAAATGGCGGCATATTGGACGAAATATCGAAGGACACAATATCGAAGATAAAATACACTGCACTGCTCCAAAACTTGCCAAAACTTGGT